TATTTCTACTACTACTACTACGACTACGACTCCGACTACTACTGCTACTACTGCTGCTACTACTACTACTGCGACTACGACTACAACCACTACTACTAGTACTACTACTGCTTCTACTACTACTACTACTAGTACTACTACTACTACTACTACTACTACTACTACTACTACTACTACGACCACTACTACTAGTACTACTACTGCTACTACTACGACTACTACTACTACTACTACTACTACTACGACTACTACTACTACTACGACGACTACTACAGCTACGACTACTAATGCAACTGCCGTTGCTACCACTACACTTTGCTTATGTACACGGTTTCGTGCCCCTCCCACCCCTCCAGGATGGCCCCTTCCAGAGGGAGGACGGTACCGGAACCACATATTATTTTCACGGTGGAACCAGATATTCTTGACACGAGTTCGTGCCCTTCCCACCCTTCTTGGAAGGCCCCGCCAGAGTGAGTACGGAATGCGAACCACGCATTCTTTACACGGTTTCGTGCCCCTCCTACCCCTCCAGAGTGGCCCCGCCAGAGCGAGCACCGCATCCAGGGAGGCCCCGTCAGAGCGAAGACGGTATCCAAACCACACTTTTTTTACACGGTCTCGTGCCCCTCCCACCCTTCCAGGGAGGCCCCGCCAGAGCGAGGACAGTATTGGAACCACGCGCCTCCCACCGCCCCGGGCGCTGCCCAAAGAGGCTCAGACCGCGCCCACACAGGCCCCGCCACGCTGCCCACTGAAGCCCCAGACGGTGCCCAAAGAGGCCCCGATCGCGCCCACACAGGCCCCGCCACACTACGCTGCCCACTGAGAGCCCCACACGCTGCCCGCAGAGGTCCCAGGCGCGCCCACAGAGGCATCGTCGCGCTGCCCACTGAGACCCCACGTGCATCCTGCAGCGGCGCTGACCGCGCCCACACGAAGTCCCCGCCACGCCACGTTGGCGCCCCCCCTCATCCCGCCAACCCAGTCACACAATTACGCGGGGCATTCCTTTAGAATGATTCAACTCTTTTCTAAGATCCGCCTACAGGAGGACATGCCCGACCGAACGCCTCGTCCTGGCTTCGTCTTGTGGGGGCGGGCCCCGGCGCGGCGCGCGCGCGCAGAAGCGCCGCTACGGGCCGCAGCGGCTCGAGGCCTTCCTGCGCCGCCCGGACGAGCGTCTGGTGGAGGAGGCGGGCGCCGCGCCGGCTCGCATGCCCGTGCCAGGCGCTCGGCATTCGCCACGACCGAAATGGGTACTTAAGCAGTGGCGAAGCGTCCTGGCGTGCCTATAGGCCTACCAGACAGTGCTCCAAGAATCTTCTGTGGTTTCCACGAAACGTTCTCAGAACATTTCTGGCTGAGACTGTTTTGTTTGAACTCACCAGGTTTGTCTCCTAAGAACTTGTTTTTGTTATTCGAACAGTTTGGGGTTCTAAGGGGATATCGTGGTAGAGGTTGTAGGAATGCCAGGACGGTCGTTGCTTGATCAAGGTACGGAAAATACAGTAGGGGCCCATGTCAAGAAACACCCTGCTTGCCTCCAGGGTGTCCTGGGCTTCCTGGGTCTCGATTGCCTTGCTCTGGACAGCGTGACGGGCCCACACCAAACATCAATGGGCGTCCTGGGGTCTCAGGGTTGGGTTTCTTGTGGAAGGTTTCTTGTGCACCTGGCCTCCACTGTATAGGTGCGAAGACCAACCGCGATTTTTGCAAATTTTGAAGAGAATTCGCGGTCCGCCTCGCCGCGGACGTGGTCCGTTCAAGGCAGAAGGCCGCCTGCCCAACAGCGGCCGCTGTTGGTGTTGGACAACATGTTTTGTAGGGCATTGTGCCAATTTTTTCCCGTCCCCATTTCGGTCGTTCGAATACATTCGGAGGACGCGCAACCTTCGAAGAAGAAAAAACGCCATAAACATGAATCTGCGCGGAGCGCGTCCAGGGAGGCAAAAGTTGTTGTTTATGGCGTTTGTTCTCATTCTAAGCCCCCGCTGCTGCAAGCGGGGCGTTAGTAAACGCGGCGGTAGCGAAGGGGCCTCGTCCAGCGATGACGGGGGTGACAGGGCATTTACCTCGCAATGGTGCGTGGTAGTGATCGGGACGGCAGAAACGTCGATACATCATCATAGTTCAGGGCGGGGGGTTTTACCTCGCACTTGTGCTCGGCAAGTCAACGTCTTGGAAACACCCGTGAAAACGCATCGTTAGCTACCGGCCCGTTTACTAACGCCCGCTCGCAGGGGCGAAGCCGCGAGGGCTGCAGAAAAGGGGCCCTCTCGGGCTTAGGAGGGAGCTTTGGGGGGGACCGAGGAGGACACCGTCCTTCATCTCCCCCGCCCCGTGTATCGCCACCCCCTCCTCCCCCCCCTCAATTCGCGCACAATGCATGCCTGGGGCCCCCCAGGTAGGGTCGGAGGATCTCGCCGCACCGCCGATGCATCCCAGACCCCCTCGCGCTGCGAACAAAATCACGGCGGGCGGTTTTCCCTTTTTGTTCGGCCTCCTGGGGCCCTTGCCGGGCCGCGGGACCGTGATCAAAACGATTCAGGACGACAAGCTGGTCCCGGGGAAGGCGTCGAGACCTCTTCGGTTCGACGTTGAAGAAAAATCATGTCGTCGGGGGTCTGGATCTGCGGTGCAGCTTGACGTGGACGCTGAGTTTCTCTACGCCAGCGAGGCCGCTGCATCGGCGATTCGGCGCGATGCTCCGACCCCAATTGCTCCGACCCCATCGGGGAGTTTTCCCGACAGGCTCTCGAGAACATGTCGACCGAGGCCAGCGATCGTTCGAAGAAGAACAGCCAGCATCAGCACCAACGTGGAGAGGTCCGTGCGGATCTCTGGTGTCCGCGCCAGGGAGGGCCGACTGCACGTCAGAGAGACCTTTCGCCAGAACGGCCCCCGGCGCGTGCCCACCGGGGTCCCCCGGTGACCGAACGCGACGCGATAGTAGCGTCTCCCGCGCTGGCGTATGGGCCCCCCGCGGCCCCCCCCAAAGCCGCGCACCAAAGGACGCTCTTACCCAGGGCGCCCAACGAAGGCCCGGAAAGCCGCGCAGGCCCTCGGACGATTGTGTGTGCTGTGCCTCGTCCCGGCTCGTCCCGTTCTTTACGGTCGGACCGGGATATAAGAGCGAGGTCGGTACGGGAAGGGTGCCAGTGGAGATGGAGGATGAGGAGGAGGAGAAAGGCGGAGGAGGAGGAGAAAGTAGGAGGAGGAGGAGGAGGAGGAGAGGAAGAAGCAGGAGGAGGAGGATGGAGGAGGAGGAGGAGGAGGAGGAGGAGGAGGAGGAGGATTGAGGAGGAGGAGGAGGAGGATGAGGAGGGTGGAGGTGGACGTCGTCCGACTGTACGCCCGCGACCCCCTCGGGTGCGCCGCCACCCAGGGCGGAGTCCGCCTTCTGCCGTGCTGGTCCGTCTTCTGCGCCGCGCCGCCCTGCCTCGTCTTGCGCGGCGCGCGGCCACTAAGGCGGCCGTTTCGCGCAGATCGCCCCGCCGCCTCTCCTGCCCAGGGGGCGGCCGGGGTTTCGGGCGCCCTGCCGCCTGCAGTGGAGGCATATGCCAAGAAACACGCCCTGCTTGCCTCCAGGGTTCCCTGGGTTTCCTGGGCTTCGATCTGCTTGCTGTGGGAGGCGTGGCTTTCCCACGCCAGACACCAATGGACACCCTGGGGTCTCAGGGTCTGGTTCCTTGTGGAAGGTCTCTCGTGGTCGGGCCCCTACGGTATGGGCGGCGCGGCGCTGGGCGCTATAACTATACAGTCAGCGCGCCTGGTAAGGACACGCGCCCGCGTCCAGGGTGCCCACGAAACGGCGGCGGCGCGAGGGGGGCTGCCTTCTCAGAGGGGAGGAGGGCCGTCCTGCGGGGCAGGGGGCCTTTCCCGGTCCCGGGAGGCCCCCCCGCGGAGGCTCCGAGGGCGGCCTCTCATGGGGAGGCCGTCCTGCTTTCTTTCGGGAGCGCCGCCGTGTTCTCGGAGGCCCTCGCCCCTCTCGCGCCGTGCGGCCCACGCGCGCCTTCACACCCTTATGTGTGCTTGCCTCTGCGGCTCGTCCTTTGCCGTTCTCACGGGTCGCCCGCCGCCCCGAGAGTAATCGTTTTGGCCTCCAGAGGTCTGGCGTCCTTACCACCCGTCCTTGGTACAAGTTTTGACGGTAGGCCTGCCAGCCGGGTCAGAGGCGGGAACTGGTACAGGGGCAACGATAGGGCGGGGGGGGGCTCAGGGGGGATGCATCGACCCCCAATCGCCTATTGATTGGCGATAGGGGTCTGATAGCCCCACCCCGCCAATAAGGTACGGATTCGCTATCTGGGGCCTATCGCCGATCTATCGGCTGTGTATGGTCGATTCCAGGTCGATATTCCCCACTTTGCCAGCCCCCTCCTATCGTTGCCACTCGTTCAAGGTTCCCTGAGGTTTCGCGTGCCTCGCGGGTCGTCCTGTTCTTGTGGAGTCGGCTGGGTGTCTGATGTTGCCCAACACTGGTTCCGGTCAGTAGGAAAGGGGGGGGGCAGGGTGGAGGTTCAGGGTTCGAGAAGGTTTTTGTTGCCTTTTTCTGTCTCTTTTTGGGTCCCAGGATCATCAAAAACGGATCTTGGGTGGAAAGTTGCACCAGAGGGGATTCGGGCGCGATCCGGGAGCGGCTGCACATCGGCTGTCTCTTAGTTCACAGCATGCGCCGTTTGAGAACGGGGAGGGGGAGGAGGAGCGGGGGGAGGAGGAGGAGGAGCAGGGGGGGAGGAAGAGACGCAGCATCAATCACGAATCTGCGCAAAGTTGCTGGCTCACACACGCAATGCATAATAGCCTCTCCCGATGAAAAATGCGGAGCGACAACTTTGTACAAACACTTCGCCCATTCCTGTCTGGGCCAGCCTCGCCCTTGGACGCATGCGTATGGGGCTGGCCGCGCTCTTCCTTGTTGGAAGGTGAGTCGAAGCAGACAATCCGAATATGTCGCCCTACACATTCTACCATACCACACCAGTTGATGCTTCAGAAGTTGCGTTGTGTAGGCATGTTTACCTGCTTGCAATAGCACTTGTTCGTTGAAGACTCTTGAAATGCATGCGTGGGGAATGTGCGAGATTCGACGTAGGCATCTCGCTTGGAACCCGTCGAGTCGTCTGCGTTCAGCTTTGTCGAGCCATGCCAAGTTCAGCGAGTACATGACCTTACTTGTCACCAGCGCTTGAGATACCTGAAGCTTTCTTGTAGTACTGATTGCGGCGTGTTTCCAGGCGCGGCTGCGCCTGCAGAACTCACCCCATGCAGCTCCGAATCTCTTTCCCGATTCTCCGCGCAGCTGGCCGGAATTTGATAGAGTAGCGCCGAGGTAGACCACCGACTCTTTAGCTGGGATTTGCACGCCAGAGGGCGTCAAGAGAGACAAGTCGCAAGGAATTGGCATGAGTTGAAACGCATCCCCATGCAATTTCATGCCAAGTCGTGTACCTGCTTTAGAAATTGCTCCCATGAGATTCCCCTGTGACCCACAAGCAAGGTGCCATCCGCGTACATCAATCTATCCAAGGCTCCGTCTTCCAGAGCTCGTCGTACTTCGGCGTCTCCGTGGTGTGTGGCTTTTCGAATTACCATCGTCATTGTCATAATACATAGAACGCCGAAAGCGGGCAACCTTGTGATATCCCAGATAAGTGTTGTCGTTCCGATGACCCGTGTCGACCAGCCGCCATTCTGAATGTTTTGCCCTCGCAGATGTGACAAGTTAGTGTAAGGACGCGCCGAGGAACCCCAAACTTGTGCAAAGCTTCCGGCAGCGCCTCGACGTTCAAAGCGTCGAACGTTTGCTGCCAATCCGAAGCGACAAATGCAGTACCCCCGTGCTTGTCAGTGTAAGCTCAGACAATCTACCCCGATCGGAAATCTGATAGTACATGCTCGGTGGTAGGCGCTTCATGGCCATGCCTGGGTGACGATCTGCTAGACGACGTGCGTGCCGCATGTCCGGTCCGGGCGTTCGCCCCCCGAGGGGGACGCACGGTACTGACATGTCATGAGGCGCCCCACCGATCGTTCCTTCGAGGGCCTCCCGGGAGCCGCCTCCTTCCTCCTGCCTCCTCATGGGCGGGGGCGGGCGCCCCGCCAGGTGGAGGACGTGGTCGGCGGCCTCACGCCGTTCCTGCCCCGGCTCCTGGGCTGGGCGGCGGGACCCCGCGGGCGCCACGAGCAGGAGCTCACGCGCTCTCGGGGGGGGAGGGGGAGAAAGGGGGGGGGGGTCGGAGGAGGAGACCGTTGCGGCCCGACGATACGAGCAAGGTCTGAAGAAAGCAGGGGGGGGAGAAAGGGGGGCGGAGGGGTTCGGAGGAGGAGACCGTTGCGGCCCGACGATGCGAGCAAGGTCGAAAGAAAGCAGACGCGGAGACAGCAGCAGGAGCGGGACCGAGACTGGGGCTGGGAGCACGAGCGCACCTCTCGAGCGGAGAAACGAGGGCGTGGAGGCGGTGCAGCAGCACTCTGGAGGCGGAGCCCTCCTCCTCCCCCTCCTCCTCCTCCTCCTCCTCCTCCTCCTCCTCCCTCCTCCTCCTCCTCCTCCTCCTCCTCCTCCTCCCCTCCCTCCCTCCTCCCTCCCTCCCTCCCTCCCTCCCTCCTCCCTCCCTCCCTCGAGCGGCGTGGACGGCGCAGGGTGTCGTCCGCCTGGCACTCCTTTGCATCACTCCTTCTGCCTCCTTGCCCTCACGTGCTGCCCTCTTCCTCCCTGCTCGTCCTCCGCCTCCCGCATCATCAAGATCATCACCACCAGCATCATTACCTTCATCACCGCTCATTTCTGGCCAGCGTATTTGCAAGGTTGTTCTATAGCACGCCTTGTGTGACAGAACATCTCAGTTGTTTCGTTGTGCCGTGCCACCCTGTCTGTGCTGGCGTGGAACGCCACCCACACTTTGTGGATAAGGTGATGTGTGCTTGTCTTGCAGTTGGACAAACATACCGCGTAGGCATTTGCGACAGAATTTTGACTGGCGCACGATCTCTGACAAGCTCTGATATACATATATATATATACACCAAAGAGAGGCGAAGTAGGAGACAGCTGCGACTGCATAGGAGATTCACTACGACAGCGCAAACGATCACTGATACTATAGACTTACGCTACATCCGCCGACCCCTTAAATCAACTATTGCGGCTCCAGGACTGCATTTCACGAGACCTGTCCGAATCATGACAAGGCGCTCGACATCGTTCCTGTTGCTTCGTTGCTGTTATCGTACCTCTTTGTGCACTTTTGTGGCCTTTTAGTCGCATCTTGGCTTGTCTGCAGGCCATCTCCGGCCGCCTCGAGGGATCTTGGGCCAAGTTTGGGGGCCTTTTGGAAGCTTCATGGGGGCTTCTTGGAGGCCTTTGAGGTTCTCTTGGGGGTCCCTCAGGGCCTCTTGGGGTGTTCTTGGGGCAGGCTGGGGGCTGTGAAGAGTGCGCTCCCCTGCCCCTCTGCCGCCCGTGCCACCATGTGTGTATGTCGTACACGCTTGTCTTGTTTTGTGGCATGCACGCTGCCCGCCGCTGTTTTGGCCCTAGTCCTAGGGCCCTGGGACGCACCCGCAGTTGGACTGCCGCGCGGTCTTTGCTGAAAACAACTGCACTGACATTGGTAGCGGAGCTAGTAAGCTCCAGCGGACGCACTGCGTGCTCTGCTTCGGTGGTTGTGACCACCCGCGTGGGCCGCCATGGCCGCCAGCCAAGACGGCTCAGACGTGGAGGCTGCGTCCTCCGCAGGCACAGGTCCCCCGGACCTGCATGCGGTCCTGCGCGTGATGGCCGAGACCCAGCGGGAGCTCCTGGCCTTACATCGGGATCGTGGTGGCGACGGCGGTCCCAGACGGGCACGTCTACTGCTGTCGCAGGTGAAGCTCCCAGAGTTCGATGGTGCAGTCGGTACGAGTGCTAAGAAGTACCGAGAGTGGCGCAAGGAGGTTGAAGTCATCCGCAACCTCAACCAGCTCTCAGATGTGGAGCTGGGCCTGATCATCTACAGTCAAGTGACAGGTCGAGCCAAAGAGCTCATCGAGGTGCTTGACGCGTCGGACCTCCGACGCGAGGAGACACTCGAGACCATCTTTGCTATCTACGACGACGCCTTCGAGAAGATGGATCACGAGCGCCTCGATCAGGTGCATCAGGAGTGGGAGCGAGCACACCGTCGAGCTGGGCAGCCGATCATGGATTGGACCACGTACTTGCGCAAGAAGCGCATGGAGTTGCAGCTCGAGGATCCCACATCAGCGATCAGCGATCGCGCATTGGCAAGCAAGATGCTTCGTGGCGCTGGACTGTCGCAGAAGGAGCGAGCGCAGGTGCTCTTCAACTGTGGCGGCATCTACGACTCGAAGCGGATGGAGGTCGTGCTGAAGGCAGCCTACTCGAAGGTGCACGACACCGAGAAGCGCTCAGTGCTCCCTCGCCGCTCGCCGTTTGCGGCGCAGCGTGAGCACGGGCGCTCCTCTGGGAGTTCGGGCGGTCGCTATCCGCACCCTCCCATGGCTCGTAGGCCGTGCGTGCTGCGAGGACGCCCTGGCCAGCACGTGCACGAGGTGGAGAACGGCGAAGACTACGATGAACACCACGGCGACCTGGAGGAGGCGCAGCACGACGAAGATGAAGCATATGAACAGGACGATGGAGACCCCGGCACTGGCGAGGGGATCATCTTCGAGGACGGCGCCGAGGTCGAAGAGGAGCTGGCGTCGGACAACGACGGACCTGATGACGAGGAGTACGAGGCACCGGAGGATCTTCAGGAGGCGTTCTTGGCCGGCTGGAGGGCCAAGCAGAAAACGGCAGTACAGCGTCAGAAGCGCGGGTTCGTTGCTCCTCGGCAGCGGGACCCCAAGAAGATCAACGCCAGCGGCTCCTTCCAGGCTGGTCGGAAGCCGACAGACCAGCGCAAGGCTAACAGCCGGTGTGCTGACTGCGATCAGCCTGGCCTCTGGCGTGGCGACCCAGAGCGCCCCAAGGTGAAGAGTGGCGAGCGCGAGCCGTACAACAAGATCGGGCCTAAGAATGGCCAGCCAGCGTCGCCCAACCAGCGGAGCTCTGTGAAGCCGCCGGCGCCTAGGCAGGTGCATGGACCGATCGTCCACTGGGTTGGCGTGGCAGGCAGTGCCGAGGAGCGTCGTGGCCGCGCTCCAGTGCGCCGTGCTCCCCAGTCGGCGCCTGCCCAGAGGCATCCAGTGGAGGGTCGAGCGGACGCGCCAGAGCGGATCATTATGCACCCCAGGCCCAAAAGCATGCCTGCACCGAGCCTACGCCAGGACGCCGACGACGGCCCAGGGGCCGCACAGAGCAGCGATGAACGTGCGCGCGCCCGTGCCAGGCGCGGGGGGGATCAGGAGGACGAGGATGCATGCGTGCGTTGCCATCGCATTCTGGCCAACACCCACGCAAAGGGGCACAGCGTGGAGTTGGAGTTTCCTGACCTTGCCACGGTCCATTACATCGTGGAGCGCGTGACGAACAAGAAGCCTATCTTCTTCAAGCAAGGCCGCTTCGAGAGCCTCGACTTCGTCCAGGGTCGGCTCGTGCGCCTGCAGCTGACCACGTCGAGGCCCTGCACGGCGGCTGAGGTGGATCTCGACGAGATCACGGCAACTATACTCAAGATCGTGATGGGCGGCAATCGTGATACCAAGCCCCGTGACGATCGGCGCGGCGAAGGCGGGAGTCGTGACACCAAGCAGCGTGAAGATCATCATCGAGATCGTCGTGACGACCGCCAGCGTGATCGGGGAGCTGTTCTTCGCGAGCCTCGTGCCCCTCCTCCGCCCGAGGCGGAGGCTTCCTCGCGTTCAAGGTCGCGGGGTACACCAGAAGGCCGCGGTGTGAAGAAAGAAAAGCGGAGTCCACCAGAAGACCGCGGTGAGAAGGAAGAAAAGGAAGAAAAGAAAGAGAAGAAGAAGAAGGCGAGGAGCAGCAAAGAAGAGAAGAAAGAGAGAAATAAGGCAAGAAGCAGCAAGGAAGTGAAGAACGAGGACGAGGGCAGCGAGGACCCTGAGGCCACCGAGGACGACAACGACCAGCGGCGTGAGGATAAGGAGGTGCCGTTCACGCCAGAGGAGATGGACGAGATCTTCTGCAGCTGGTATCCGCGTCAGGATATCTTCAGGGATTACCTGACGCCGCTACACGCGCCGCTGCGAGAAGCCAGATTTCTCCTTATCCAGCGGCCCTGCGAGGGCCCATCCTGTATACGTGGTGGAGGCGTCGGCGAAGGGAGCATCGAAGACCAAAGAATCCTCAGACGGAGCTGTGCCTGGACTAACGTCTGCCGCTCCGACTGGGGAGGCCGCCGCTGTCCCTAAGGAGGAGGACTGGGTCATGGCAGGAGCCTCTGAGGAAGTGAGAAAGAGCTGGGAAAAGAAGCGATTAGAGGTCCTGCAGCGTGACAAAGCTGAGTTGCTGGATCGCCTCGCACTGATAGAGAAACAGGAGATGGAGATGCATGCCCGATTGAACCCAGGCGAGGTCTACGACGGCCTACAGAAGCGACGTGAGCAGGCACCTCTGCCAGAGCGTGCCCTGCCTACATCTCCTGAGCAGCAGGGAGTCGGAAGCGTGTGGAAGAACATGGAGGCAATACGACGACGTGTCCGTCTTCGAGCGCCTCCAGGAGCCGCGAGCTCAGGTGCCCCTGCCGCTGCGACGGCATCTCCAGCTGCATCTGGAGTCCCGCGTGTAGTCACCGCCTCTGGACGGAGCTGCGTCATGAGTGTCGGTGCCACGCAGAGTGACCTGGAGAAGCAGCAGATGCATCGAGCCATGTACGACTCGCAGTTCGACGGCGAGAGGCTGGTTCCAGGTCCAAAGGCGAAGTTCGACCCAGAGCCCATGCAGCAGCAGGCTGAATGTGTTCATCCTGTGGGCGAGTTGAAGCGGCAGTCAAACGGCACCGTGATCTTCGCGAAGTGCAAGAAGTGTTCGCTGAAGTCGGTGATTCACTACACGCTGGAGAAGCCCAAGAAGGATGAAGGGGAACCTTCCAAGAACACCCCAGACGGAGCTGTGCCAGGACTAACGTCTGCCGCTCCGACTGGGGAGGACGTTGCCGTCAAGAAGGGCGCGGGCCCCTGGGCAGCAAAGGGCGCAGACCCTTGGGCAGCAAAAGGGGGATCTGCGGCCCACATGGTCACCACCCGAGAGGAGTGCCCCCGCAAGGTGGTAGATGAGCAGTCCGT